CTCTACTTCTCTGCTTCCAACTACTACAAAGACACACCAAAAAAAAAAATTTTATATCATAAAATAAAGCGCAAAATAATACTCTAAAAAACGGAAATCAGAGATTTTAAAAATCGAAAAAAATTCCAAACAGATCAGATATTAGATTATACAGAAAGTCTAAAAGCGAGAGAGACGAGACCTGAGAAAGGAGAGATAGAGAACAGCGATTGATGCTTACACATCCACAGTATGGAGCATGATATTAAAGAAAAGAGATTCGAGAGAGATTTTTTAAGAAAAGGAAAAGAGAGAGAGGAAACCCCTAAAGCAATTACAGAGGAGAAAGAAAGAAGAGGGGGCGCGTTGGGCGGCTCGGCTTAAGTGTTTGTTTGGTTTTGGTTTTTATATAAATTCGAGCTTTGAAATGGATTTTATATGGTGTTTAAGATGAAATCCAGAGGATCAATCAACAAAGGAGAAACTTTTAGGGTCTCTTAGAAAGAGGTGAAATAAAAGGCAAGAAACAGTTAAAAAAGGAACGGGCATATTAGCGAGAGTTTGAGAGAGAAGTGCAGCTGACGGACGCAGCGCGTTGACTCTGCAAGTCTACAACCTACGGTGGTCATTTTGGAATGTAATAATACCTATTTGGCCCTGAACTATTACATTTTTAATGAAAAATTAAAAAACTTTTCTAATTAATTATCTAAATTTCAATTTCGTACCCTAACCTCTTAACCGTTAAAATAATGTTAAAATGAAACTTAAATTTTGGTATAAATGAATCTTATTATTATGTGATTTAATATATAATTATCACGTAACATTTAAAAAATAAAATAATTTTTTTATTTTTTTTAAATAACATATGATATTTACATTATTATCACATATCAATCACATATTATTTATATCAATATTTAAATATTAATATTATTCTAACGATATTAAAAATTAAAATAATTTAATATATAAAAATAAAATTTAAATACTTAATTAAAAAAATTTTAGGTTAGATACTTATTAAAAATATTACAATAATTCGAAGGTTCTTTTCATTTTAACAAATATAAAAGTCATTGTTAAGTCCCAAACGAAACTCATGGCTCAAAATTAAAGAGATACAAGGCCAAAGTCCAAGCAAATTGACCCACAATCTCAGTAACTATTTCCAAGGCCAACAAATCAAAATAAATAAATAAAATTTTGTATAATTTTAAACATATTTCTTCCATCTCGTTTTCTTTGTTTATATTTATTTTTATGGATATGTTAAAATTATGTTCTTTTTATTTTTCAAACACATAATTCTTTTAGTTTTTATATATTTCAAAATTAATTTTTTAATTTTAAAAATAAGCATCATAGTGCATCACTTAAAAATAAAATAATTTTTTATAAAATACATTAAAATAAAAAAAAAACTTCATAAAATTAAATAAAACAAAACAAAATAAACCAGACAAAAATTATTTTTATTTCTATAACACATTAAAAAATATATTCTTGGAGTTCCAAATTTTTATTGACTTAATTTAATAATAAATTATAGTTATTGAAATTTGAAAATATTATATTTTTAAAATAATTATATAAATCAATTAAATTCAATTATAAATTCACTTTACCGATAACTTTAATGAAAAATTTTGGTTGTATTTCGGTTACTTTAAAATTGGTTCATGGTATTTATAATTTTGAATTAGTCAATCCTGGAAAATATCAAAACGGAGAGCAATTCATCCTAAAATTGGAACGAAATTTCCCAAACTTTTCCAGTGCCACTATTGAATTTACGTTAGATTTTGATTGTTTTGTATTCATTCCCCTAAAAATAAATAAAAACAAATGAAAATTTGTCATCAACAATTTTCTTTTGTGAAAAGACTTCCTGGTTAATTTAATTAAAGATTAAGTAATTTGTAATTCTTTTGCCGATTGAAACTCGGCAAACAAGGTCAACTCATGTTACTTGATAATTTGTGGCGAAATAAAACCAATCAATATGGTTTTAATTTTTATTTTTACTCAAATTCCCCAAGCTCAACTTTCAGAAAAACTTTATCAAGAAAGGCAAAAAAAAAAAACGTCATCATTAAATTGGCTTATGTGTTGAAACACAAACCTCCAAAATTAACAAAAGCTTAATTTAAACAAAAGTTTTATTTAGATAGACTGGTAAAATAATTATGATAAAATTAAAAATAATAATTATTATTATTATAATTATAATTAAAATAAATTTAATGAAAAATTTATATTAAATAAATTTTGTTTAAATTGATATAAAAATTAATTAATAATATAATAAATTTAATTATATCACATTAAAAATGCGATGAATCCAAGAAGTCCGATCTCGTAAAGTTGCCAACGTAACTTAAACATAGAAAGTGCCATAGGATGAGGATGCTTAACCTTTAGTTACTGCATGCGCCACAGATGCCGTCGAGGCCAGCCATGGAAGTGTGCAAAAATAATTCTATGCTTTTTTATTACGAATTTTTTTATCAATTTAGTGGATTTAAGATGTAATTTCAAAATGTTTCTTATAAAAATTAAATCTGATTTATATATAACAAAAAAAAACTCATTTTCTTATCATCTACGGATTAACTTGTGCTGATAATCTTACGCATTTCATTTTGTTCTTGAGATCTAAAAAACAAATGGGAGAAACTAAAAATCTCTCTATGCCTTGTTTGGTACTAAGCCATGTCCCAAGCTACAAAGAATGTGCTTTGTTTATACATTGCCAAACATGGACTTTGACGAAACTTGAGAAATGACCAAGAAGGGCGCCTAAAACAGCCGAATATTCTTTTTGATAAAGAGCTTTCTGACATCTGTATCCCTTTTTTGGTTGCACTGTTTGATTCTTTTGGGTCCCACCAGCTGAAATTGATTACAAAGGTCTCATCTATGCAGAAAAAAGGTTGTGAAGATTCAATCAAAAGTGACCTAATATAAATGCACAACTTTTTTATTTTTGACATGTTTGTGGAAAGTTTCCTTCACATGCATTAACTGAAGAAGAAAGAAAACTCCCAAGATTTGATCATAAGATGTGATTATAAGAAAGATTTAGATGAAGGTTTTTTTAATTAAAAATTAAAATCGAAAACCAAATTAACGACATATGCACCCTCCAGTGTCTCTCACAAACCTACTTTACAGTCTGTTTTTAACCCAAGAAGATATATGAAAACTGCTCATGGGATCACTAAGTTCATAGAGAGCCAAAAAGGGAGGCTTACCACTGCATATATTTCTGAAGTGTCCCCTGATAATGGGGTTTTTGTGTGAATAACAAAAGCATGATCACCCCAAATGACTTCTTGAACCAATACAGCCATGGGAAGGTATTTGTGATTAAATTCAGCTTTCCTGCAACTAAGATATGCTCTTTCATTATACTTTGAAGACCGTAAAAAAGCGACTCTCCAAAAGGGGCACAAGGATATGAATCTCAAAAGATTGTTTGATTTGATGTGCCAATAATCCTTATAAAAATGCTAATAGAGGTTGACATAAGTGGTTAAAATTTAGGATCTAAATGTAAAATACTCAAGTTTGAATCCCCACAATTTTTTGTTGGTATAATTCTCGTAAATCTCTTTGTAGGTCGATGATTTGTTCGGATCTTAAAAATGAAATAACCTTCAAAGTTTTTAAATTTTTGTGAAAAAAAAAAAAAAAAAAAACCCATCTATAAATTTTACAAAATGGTTTTCAGTGCTGGCTTTACGAATTCCCATGGTAAACAAAACCCCAGTAAAGAATCCAAGTTCTTGTACTGTTTTTAAGCTGAAGTTCAACTCTTGCATTGCGCCCACTTGAACATCCAGAGACATTAACCTACAGAAAAAAAGGCAAAGTATCAAAAGAATAATTATTTTAAGAGAACAACCAATAATGGTAATCAAATCCGTAAAAAATGGAAATTCAAAACCTGAAGTTGCATTCCATCAACGAGATGAAAATGAAGAACTCGAGAACTGGAGGTCGCCATAACAATTAGTAGCAAACACAGTGAAACCAAATGGGTTTGAAATACCATGTGTGATGGCAAACACCCTATTTATAAGCATTAAACTCTCCTTTGTCAAATCATAGTTGCATTAAAACAGTAATATCTTTAAAAGTGAAAATCTGATGATTGAGATTCTTGAAGGAAACATTGAATTACCATTGCTAACAAATCTTCAATCATGACTCCATGGTCCATAGTTGATGACATGTGAGCTGAAGTCTAGGTTAAAGTAATTCAATTCATCTGACAACTGCCATATTGATGACATGTGAGCTGAAGTCTAGGTTAAAGTAGTTCAATTCATCTGACAACTGCCATTCAGCATAGTATCCACCACAACGTATGATATTTATGATACTTCTAAAAGGAATCTTTTATTAAGAGAATGGCGACCCTGCAAAACTATAGTCCTTTACCTTTCCTGTTCTACATGTTTCTTAACAGAAAGGGTATAGCTTTCAAAGTTCAATTTTTCTGATGATTGGAATCCATTGCTTTACTACTAACTCACAAAAAAAAAAAGGCCCCAATGTACTGGAATTCCTTGAAGAACAGGAAACTTGGGGAAAAGATGGAAGAGAATCGGATGTTTGGATCCCGGGTTAGAGTCACGCTTGGGAATTGTGAAAGCCAAAGTTCTGCACTTTTGGCGAGTGATGCTCATGCTAATATAGATTCCCCCCGCGGATTCTGAAATCACCGTTGCCAATGTTGACGGATTCTTAAAGAGGTGGTGGGAGAACGGAATTACAATGGGATTTCATAAAAAGTAAGAGATAATATTGGCTAGCTTTTTTTTTGCACTTTTGTTCATTTCAGCACCTTGTTTCTCGTCTGCAGGATCAAAAGCATCCTCTAAATAGAACATTTCAATTCAAAATTGCGTTTCACCAGTTCTCGATAGATATCAAAATGGTTTCATGATGCGATGGTAAAGTCATTCCAAGCTGAACTTGCCAATAAATGTACAGAATGACTGAAAGAGAAAAAAAAAATCAATTCAATCAAGAATGGAAGATCAAACAGGCAACTCATTACATGGATACTTCGAAGTTCAAACATCGCCATATCCTATTCAAGCTGGTGCAAGATTGAAATAGGTTGACAGGGGAATAGAAACAAATTCATGTCATAAATACAGAGGTTCCATCTTTCTGTCCTAAAATTTTCACCGTTGTCCACTCTGTTATCTGAATGAAAAGTAAAATGAAGTACAAAAGAAAAATTCCTCCAATAAAGGTTGATGGCTTTACAATATATGTCCAATCTCAGTCAACCATCCCCTCCACCATTATCAAACACAACACTGATTGACATTTCATTGTGAGAGCAGCTTTGAGTCACATGCTACTATTTTCACACGATCAACATTCTGTACAAAATCCTCGCTCTTAAACGATGCACCCTGTAAGATGAAGGTCCACACATTGTCGCAGAATCTATAGGTGTGCAGATGTCCCTGTAGCATACAAGATGGGATCAGCGTTCAAATAGAAATAACAATTCAGATTATGCATTGCAATGGCAGAGGATATGTTGATTTGAACATTTTTTTAATAAGAAAATAGAAGCCCTCATAACAAATTTATAAATGACAAATGGCCAAAATAGGCAGCAGCAGTAGGCAGCTAAAAATTCCACTGTAGACAGAAGTACCACATATTAGAAAACATACTAATGCGCAACCAAAGGAGGCATTACCAACCACCAACTTTGAGTATTATTGAAAATCAAAGAAATAATACATAATAATTACGTATGATAAAAAAAAGAACTTAGCCAAGAAGCAAGCTTTTTGCTAATCTATATTTTCAGGTCACTGAAATGTTTCTCCAGCAATTATACCAAAAATCAATATAACCCAAAATTTTTGCAAAAGAAGTGAGGCTTTGAAAAAGGAACTGAGATTTGTTTACCCTGCACTCTTACCATCAACACTGGTCCTAGAGAACATTTTGAAAACAAGAGGTAGCTATGGTTTAACAATAAGAAACATTTTATAAAAGTTGACAAGAAGTTGAACACCGTTCTCCATTCAAAATTCTTCATTAATCCATAAGGGGTCAAAAACATAATCTAGGCATCACTTACCAAAAAAGATTCATGTGTTATTCGTACTATCTCTCCCTTCTTATAAGTGCAACACAAACAAATTGCAACAAAACAATAACCCAGCACCACAATCAGGTACCATATATGAAACTCTTGTACCATTAAAGTAGCAAAATCAACACATAGCTAGATTTTGATCCCTGCCCAAGTAATTAAATACATGGGGGTCTTTTACCATTCATGAATGGTCATAATTTAGCTTTCTTCAAGGATGGGAATATCAAGCGACCATATCAAACTAATATCAGCTTCGCTTATAAAACCGCACTTATTAATAGATAAAACAAAATATCTCACCATAGTTATTCACAGAAACAGGTAAACAGCAGATCACGGCCATAAACCACCGTCAATTTACACAATCAATGAACACATTACAACCCACAGGTCACAAGAGACAAAAAAACAAGAGCAACACATTAGAACCTTAAACCACACAAAGAAAAACAAAAAGCTTCTTTTTTCCTTTAAAAAAGAATATACCGCAATGGTAACCTTGCTCTTCACTTGACTTTCCAGGGCTTCAGTCATAGACTAACAAAAACATAAACGAAATTAATGAATTAACAAAAAAACAAGAAAAAAAAGAGAAATTGCAGAACAAGATGTTAACAGTACCTTATCGAACTGGACGAGAACCTCAATAGCGAGCTCGGGGCTGAGAGTACCGTTTGAAACCATCTCGTCCAAAGTCTCCGTCAAGCACATCCCGATCGTTGACCTCCGGTAAAGCTCAAACGTCGCCATTATTCACCCAATCTACCAAAAAAAAAAAGAAAAAAATTGTAAATCTCGAATCTCGATGTTGAGAAATTAAAAAAAAAAGAAAAAGAAAACGGGAAATAGCTAATTTAAGAGTTGAATTTGAAGGAAGAAATTACGAAATTTGGAGGCGACGATTATGGATGTTTGGAAATGTTGGAGCTTTGAAGATGCGAGGAGATTACCGTTCGGTTTTCCGAAGGGGGAATTTTTTTTGGGCGGAGAAGATTTGGGGCTTTTTATACCCTAGATTATGTAGATGAGGGTATATATAGGAGCGACGTTTTGGGTTGATGGAATGACTTTTTTGCCCCTACTTCTTGCCCTATAGGAAAGAGTCGGTTAAAATTGGTTTGGGCTGGACATCATGCTTTGACGGATCTGACCCAAATTACGGCCCATATGTGATCCATATTGGGAATTTCCATTTTTTAAAACGAATAAATATTGGAAATTTTCAAATATAAGTTAGTTGTATTGGATTTAATTCATTTTTAGTTTGGTAAAATAATTTTTTTATTATTTTATTATTAAAAATTAAGTTATTTAAATGGCGCGACGACTCTTTTAAACTTGCCAAGTAATGTCTAGCAAAAAAAGCCAAATAACGAGTATAATTCCAATTTTTTTGTTATGTAATTAGAAAATTAAAACTCAAATGAAGACGAAATTATTTTATTTCATGGACAAAAGAATGTGTATTTTCTTCCATTTAGTAGTACAAAAGACTAATTGAAATAAAGATTGAGCATAAAAAATAGTGAAAATTTTTTTAGAAAACTTATTGATTGAAATTATAATTTTTTTCCTAATTTTAGTTTTCACATAAAATAAACAGAATAAATTTTTTTATAGTATTTTTTTATCAGTAAGTTTGTTTTCCATCCATAAAAATTTATTTTCCATGAAAGGAATGGGCCGTTTTATTATATGGAACTAGGATTGGTTGAAATTTGTCTTCAAGATTAGTGGGCTTCAGCCACTGTCATCAGGCTATGAGCCCATCTTGTTGGACTGCCAGAAGACAACTAACAGTGGCGTGTTTGGAAGCTGCCACGTATAGACTCAGTCGTGTTAAACTTACTTGTGTATCTGCCTTTTCCTTTCAGTCTTCGCATGCCGTTCTCAAAGAGAGTTTGGTTGGGAAATTGCCACGGAAGAGATAAAGTACTCGCCACCGCTAAACACTTCGATGACCATCGCCACCGCCACCCTTAGAAAGCAAGAAACGTCTGCGTTTTCTCGAACAAAGAAAGATTGCTTTGCTTTTGGAGTTTCCTTGCAAGAGGGATTTCGATATGTCAAAAGCCACCTTAGTTGGTCAGGTATATATAAATTAAAAGCCATATTGAACCACCCTTTCTTGCGACCTTGGTGAAATTAACCCATTCGAATTAACTTGTTTTTGGAGGCAGGCAAAAAAGCTGAAATCAAGACATGAGAAGGAAGCGACAGCAGCTGAACTACAAGCTCAGAAAATGCAGGTTGAAGCATCTGAACTACAAGCTCAGAATACCAAAGAAACAATCTACAAATCCAAGTAATCAAAGTACACTACCATACATTAATGTAACATGTTGCATTATTTTCATACAACTCCAGTTTTTTGCTTTTGTTTATTTCAACCAGGTAGCTGGAAATGTAAATATGGAAGACCTCTTCAGTTATTTAAATATACAGCTTGATAGACAGATTTATCAGGCATTTTATTTTGATTTGGGAAAAAGGGTCAATGTTTCTTGGTGGAATTGTTAGAAGGCGGGGCTTCTAAACGAATGTAATCATACATAAGCCCCTGTAATGCGCTGCTACACATTGGTTGTGTCAAGAAAATGGTATTTTCTCCTTCCATAAGCAGAGCACCCTTCGCATCTATGCTATAAAGCCGGTATAGTCCATGAATTCCATGCCTTGTAATGGTGTTGTCATGCCCGATTACTCCAGTTGTAAACAGAGGAGGATTTGCCTTCGGATTATTGATCCTGACCTGTAATTCTGCGACATATGCGGTTGCTAGAGCCACTCGAAGTTTATAGGTTCCAGTTTGATTTACATTTTCGAGGTTGAACTTGATTTGCCATGTAGTTCCTTCATACTTATCCTCATCCTTCTTCCTGAAATGACAAAATTGCATCTTCTTTAACATCAATTAATGACGATTCGATGTTTTTGAAGATATGGAAAAAAAAAAAAAGAAGAGAAGAAAACCTGGTGACTTGAGCAAAGAACCAATCAGTTCTGTAGTCACTAACAGCAACGGTGTAAACTAAATCTCCATTAGGATATAAATCTGAGTATTTTTCCCACAATCCGTATTGCCTAAACCTGATAAAAGAAAATGATCAAGATTTTACATTAGTCCTCTACCCCTTAATGTTGAAGTTATACAATATTTGTTTTCTCGATTAAATTTGCAACACAGAACTAACCGGTCAGGGTGGTTCACATATAGTTTGTTGATATACATTGGATCAGGATCTGGAACATAGAATTCTGCAGCAGTTCTGTCAGGGATGCCAATTTCCCACAGTGTAGGCCCATCTCTTGGAGGTTCATAGACGAGGTTACCCATGTCAATATCACAACCTGCATTACATAGTTCATGATGGGATGAGATTTGTTTTATTGTATCAGGGAATGTTACTATCAGAAGTTTAAAGAAGAGAGAAAAGAATTTGATACCTGGAGTTATAGTAACTATTGCATTATTTTTGTAATCCCCTATGAAACCTGGAACCCAAGCATAAAGATTATAGTCACCGTTCCTTACATCACTGATCAAGAAATAGCCATCTGCATCTGTTCTGGTCCAGAATTGGTAACCCTGATATTCCAAGTTTGAGGTTTTAAGTACAATAGTACATCCATAATTGGCTTTTCCATTTTCTTGCTTCAGATTTATAAAATAATGCTGAGGAGAACAAGCAAATAAAAGGAAAAATAGTTAAATTTATTCACCTTGCTTTCTGTTTGCCACGAGCCAACATCCCCTGGTGGTGCCAATCCAACATAAGCACCGTTTGTTGATATATTGTCATCGCTGACATGCCTAAACAGGTTCAACCAAGCAACTTAATCAAAATCTAAACTGAATGACTGAAGAATCGATAAAGAAAAGAAGCCATTGCCAAGCAGGTAAAGAGGCCAAAAAAAACAGAGATTACCTGTCACTGACTTGTAATCTACCACTAACACAACCTCGCTGCTCTGACTTTGGAAAATCCTCTGAAGCTGGGAAGTTGTACGGCCAAGACTGGACTTCAGTCAACATCTGAAACCCAATTTGTTTTATTTTAGTTGTTGTTCCGTTTATTATGCAGTAAAGAAAGTGCGGCTTGTGGTGTTTCTCTAACCTGTTCTTTAGCATCTTCCCATAGCCAAAGTGGATCATCATTATCAATCAAAGTATTGAGATAAATGAAAACAGGGCCAAAGACTTTCTTCCATGGCTCTCCACGTTTAAACTTCAGCACCATATCCTCTCCCACGTAGTGAGCGCTAAGAAACATCTAAATGAAGCATTTTGGTTGAAGGTCGAACAAAATTAGTGTTGGGAAAAACAACACCCACACGTAGCAATCACACACAAAATAGCAAGCTCAAATCAAGAATAAGAACACACAAATATATTTGGTTTGACCCAACTCAAAATAACCTACTCCAAACACAATTCACTAACAAATAAATCTTTACAACTGTGAGAATTTTAGAATGAAAAAAGTCTCCTAAAACTCCTTACTCAAAACTTAACCAAAAACTCAATTACACCATTTAATAGCCTACTCACTTAGCTATTCTCTTAGTGTCTAACTCTATGAGATTACCAAACTAAAAACAAAATACCTTATTTATAAGGGTGAAACCCCTTATACTTTTACTAAACTCCCGATATGGGATACAAGACAAACTCAAACTCACTTAACTTTCGATGTGAGATTCTAAGATTCAAGGCAAATCCCAATAAATCCTCCCTTGACTTGAATCTTCAAATACTTCAACAGTATCTGCAAAGCTAACACGCTTACCTTTCTTATTTTCTTTCATCACAAGCATCTCAGCAACTGAGCCTCCATCAAACATGTACAAATGATTATTGACCCTATTCCCTTGTAGAATCACGTACACTTTTAACCAATCATTACTATCATAATATGTGTACCCCTGAGAAGCTAACTCACTCAAAGCAATCAAATTGTAGTGACAACTTGGTACATACCTTACATGACGAAGCATCCTAGCAACATCATTGTGAGATCTAAGGCGAACACTTCCAATGCCTTGAATCTGCATCTTTTCTTTGTTAGCAATCACAATATCCTCATACTTTTCATTCTCATTCAACTCCACAAAGCAACTCCTATCATTGCAAACATGAACTGTAGCAGCTGAATCTAATACCCAACCTTTATCACTTTTCAAAGTCTAAGTCTCATCAACACAAGTTATCAAAACAACATCATCATCATCAGACACGACAATAGTAGTATCACTATTTTCTTTATCTTATTTCTTCTCATCATTCGCCTTTTTAAAAGTAGTCATATTCCTTCTCAGCTTCCTACAGCACACTTGAATATATCCTTTATCACCACAATAATAACATTCTACATCACTGTAATCTCTGTCTCTTGACTTGAATCTCTATCTTGATCCATCAATCCTCTTTTGAGTCCTTCCTTGATCAAAACCCGCTATAGCTAGTGTACTCTCCCTAGGTGATGAGCTCTGAGCTCCTATAAACTTTTCATTCTCACGCAACAAGGCAGTCACATCATCCAACTTCAAAGTAGACCTGCCTACCAACACAGTCTAAACTAAAGGCTTATAAGACTTAGGCAAAGATGACAGTAAAATTAAAACCTTCTCTTCATCTTTTAATTCATCAACAAAATCGCTAGCAATTGAGAAATCAATCTATTAAACTCATTTAGGTGATTATGAGGACTCATACATTCTTCCATCTTCAGAGAATACAGATCCATCTTCAAACATAATCTATTAGTCAACGATAATTTGTTTTTTCCTGGATACTCGGGTTCAAATACCCATGGATTCGCTGTTTGCTTACCGGCTTCATATAATTCGGAAAACACTAGTTTTCTCGAAGCCTCTTGTTCATATCTCTCATCAAACGGTGCTATTCGATAATGTCTATCTAGTAGACTCCCTGCTAACCCAAGCGAGCATTCAAATATCTGTCCCACATTCATTCGTGAAGGGACTCCTAATGGGTTGGATTTGTGATTCATTCGACCTCTCATTTCTTGCTTTCAAGCCCCGGTCATTCATGTCATGGGGAAGTCATGGAGGAAATGGAGATTAAAAAAAAAAAAAAAGCAGGGCGAAAGGACTTGGAGGAGGGTTTAGGCTCTCCTTTCTGATGAGAGTACTTTATATTCCTTACTTTAGGGAATTCACAAAAACCGCAAAACAAAAGTAACTGCTTCTTAAGTAGTTGAAATGAGGAAAGTGGTTGTAGCTCGCCAGTAACCCTAGCTTAAAAGAAGGAGTTTCAATGCTCAAGCTCGAAGCATAAATACCTTCAAGCTTATCCCGTAAACTTTTCGGAGTACTCTCAGTCAACACACTATACTTTACTTTTGGAGCCAACGTCAATCTAATAGTACTAACAACTTTCTTCTGAATCCTATTCCAATTAACATCAGACATTCTCTCTAGCTTACTACTCTCTAATGCCTGAATCGTACTAACAGATCTTGAATCGTACTTTACCATAACATAAAATTATTCTTTTCATCAAATAATGGAATCTCAAACTTAGGCATAGGCATACCTGATATACCTTTTTCAGACATCTTGAAACACTGCTTCATGATCTTTTGGGCTCATGAATTTTAAACCTCGAACCTCGCTTTAATACCACTTGTTGGAAAAAAAATAACACCCACACGTAGCAACCACACACAAAATAGCAAGCTCAAATCAAGAATAGGAACACACAAATTAATTGGTTCAGCCCAACTCAAAATGCCTTACTCCAAACACAATCCACTAACAAATAAATCTTTATAACTGTGAGACTTTTAGAATGAGAAAAACCTCATAAAACTCCTTACTCAAAATTTAACCCAAAACCTAATTATACCCTTTAATAGCCTACTCACTTAACTATTCTCTTGATGTCTAACTCTCTAGGATTATCAAATTAAAAACAAAATACCTTATTTATAAGTATGAAACCTCTTATACTTTTACTAAACTCCCGATGTGGGATACAAAATAAACTCAAACTCACTTAACTTTCGATGTGAAATTCTGAGATTCAAGGCAAATCCCAACAATTAAAACAATGATCACATACTTGTAATTGATGGGATAATCCGAAATTGACCGGTGAATATCTATGTTTACGTGTTTCATTTTTGATCTGGAGTTACTTACAGCTAGATTTGTAGGACCAACATGAGAAGTAAGGTTTTGTTTCATTGGTCCGCCAGATCGGAACTCATTGCTTGGTGTGATTTGCCACCACCCCACTGGTGGATCGGAGCATATCCATCCATGGACATAAAGATCTTTGTTATCACACGAGTATTGATATTTGTCATCCACCTGCACATCAGATAACTTCAAAGGTCTTGGTAGTTTATACAAAAGGAACAACACCATAAAATTTCAAACAGAACCTAAGTTTAGTAAACATTAAACAACTAAAGAAGTATACCTCTCCTTTGAACTCCGGCTCCACTGGATGAACAAGTAGGACAGCTTCGGGGTAAGCGAGGGGTCTACTTCTTCTTGGCAACCGGTCCTCTGGTAGGGGCATGCGCCTTTGCCTATTATCTGCCACTGCCATGTAGCGAAACCTGTAAAGTGACACTCCAATATCTATCAAAATTCAAGCCCGTCAAACAGAATTATAGAACTTGTACTTGTACTTGTACCTGTACCCCTAACCAACACTAACTTTTAAACGATTTCTTCAGGAAAATAAAATTTTCACCAGCCAGGTTATGTCTCAAGAGCACACGAACAAGGAAAATTCAATCTTATCATTTAAACTAGAGGAAACTTTGCATACTTGTCTTTTCTAAGCTTGAAAACGATCCTGGTTTGTGGCAGGTTGAAACCAGGCCACTCTTTCAAGTGCTCATAGATGGCGTAGGAGTAAAACCCCGAGGATCCTCGAAGCATTACGAACCTGGTCAAAAATTGTTGTCGGCAGTAAAATTTATGTTTTCAATTTTTCATAATGAGCTAAAAATGTGCTAAAGGAAGATGTGAGTCGCTGCATCTGCACACCTTTTGTCTATACTTAGAGGAACGTGCTTGCCCTCTAAAGAAGAACTCCATGCTCTTGTGAATGAGATTTCCACTTGTTCCTCATTTTCTACAATCACTCTGAATTTTGCTCCTTTTATTCTGCATATTAATTGGTCTTTCATAAATTAATACTAGTATAAAACTTTGATTCAAGTAGATATTATATGAAGAAAGCAAAAGGCAGGCATTTTTTTTTTCAATACACATAAGAGGTCCCTGTTGTTCCTGCTGTCCCTTCCTCACTCCAAACAAGGTCCCAGTACCTGCAGGGAAGAAAAAATGAGAAAAGAAAATAGAAGCAATTTCTTTTGACCCAAGAAAGCTTGTTGTCCATAAAAGGATTATCGTTATAGTATATATAAAATGGATAAATCAAGAATGGCAGTTGCAGTGAGATTCACCCTCTATCAGATTCTTCATTACGAACTTCAAGCAAATTCTCGATCCCTTGATAGCTTACTCCAGTGACAATTCTCTCTGGTTTTGATATTGTGACTCGGAGTATGCCATTCTCCATCATCACCTGTGCATGGCATGAATTTATACTAATACATCAACATCAATCTTTTTATCATTTCACGTCAACAGAAAGACATGATCCTGCATAAGATTAGACCAAATGCAGCCAAGTCTGAATTATAGCTACACTTTTCCTCCAAAAAGAAAGTTGGAAATCTAAACCACCTTTCACCAAACGATCAAAATATGGACCAGACGCCAAATTTTTCTATAAAACATATAAAATCATTGAGAAATATTGGATGAAAAGTGTAGGCAGGGAAGAAATTTCAGTTACATGATCATCCTGAATATACAACTGCACTCCTTGAATAGACATTGTACGATATCCTCCAGTTTTCCTGGAACCTATTTAATGCAAAACTAGTCGTCTGAATTCGGGCAAATATATAATGGAGATCTTCTTGTTGCCTCCGCAATCAGAAGGTATAAACAATTTTACAGTACTTCATGGCTTGTAAGAATTGATTTCATGTCTGCTTTACTTGGATTTGACTGCAAGCATTTATTTTTTTACTTTCTTGTTTGAGAATTCTTTACTCAGTCGCTAACCGTCTTTGATTTGCAAGATAAAGCCGTGCAAGCGCCGCTACGTGCAGTCAACTGAAACATCATGGTTCTACATCCAGGCATAGATTGCAATGTCGACATGAAAAACATTTGTTCCTTAAAAAAATAAAAAAAATTCAATAAAAGCTGTAAGAGAGAGATCGTGTTGAATTAAAGTAGAAAAAGCACAGGGCCTGATGTCAAATCACATTTGTTGGAAGGTAAGAAAATCATCTCTCTGATTACAAAGCTGAGTAAAAAATGGCCATTTCTTTTTCGAGCTTCAAAAACAAGCTGGAAAAAGGGTTCACCGCTTAATGCAATCATCAATCAGCCTCAGTTAATGATAATGATTCTTTGGTTCATAAATATGTACAAGAAATCAAACCTAAGACATGTCCACAAAACAGTTATGCAAATATTCTTGTGTAAGGAATTTATATGAAATTTTTAAAGTGAAACTTGTGAAGTGTTTTGTTAAAAATAATTTAATAAAATTTTTAATAAAAATTTCAAATCTATAAATTAATAAAATTCAATGAGAAGATCAATAATATGTAAAAAAATGTATTGAAAATGACATTATAATTAATTTATATAAGTACTTATATAACAATAAAAATTATATCAAAATTTATTAAATTTTTTTTAAATTTTACGTAATTAAAACTGTCAATCTATTATTTTTATTTTCAATTTTAATTTTTATTTAATCAATTTTAATAAAAAAATTTACCTAACAAACATTATGTAAATATTTCCCATATATTTGTATATGTTTTTTTTTATGCATATAGCATTGTCCGTACAAGGTTGAGGAAAAGACCCAAAAATTTTATCTAATAACTCTCAGAAGCAAACCAAAATATATCGTGTTAGAGTAGCGATCTCAAACCCCCTGGACAATCTATTAACCCAACGAGAAAAAATCTTAAGCAAGGCTATTCAGCCGATAAATTTATTATGAAGGTAAATTTGAAGCAATTCAGGGTATCTGTAGCTGAATTTTCCTAGTATATATATAATTAATAAGCCAAGAAACAAGATTGCACAGGACTCTGTATTATAACAATCTGAATTCAGTTTGATACAGCAACAATAGTATATGCCCTAGAATAATTTAAGATACAGAAATGGAATAAGTAGCTCTCAAGCTGATTTACATAAGCCCAGTGTGTGTATCCTCTACTATGCTAATGCACCCGACTGGTCTGTCTTCTTTTGGAAAAAAAGTGATCCTAACAGAACAGCAATGCCGGTTATTGCAATGGTGACTAGCACTCGTCTCCGTGAATATTCAGGTGGTCGCCTTCTCTGAGCATCTTGCTCCCTTTCAGTTGCCCTCACATCCCTAACCATAGGTCTCAAATCCATTAATTTAACGCACGATAATTGATGTAACATAATTCTCATAAGACAAGGCAGGAAACAAAGAGCCAAGTCTGACATAGTTCTCAGAAAACAGTGATACATTCAAACATTGTCAAACAACATAACTTCTCAGGCTTTATTCAATGGTCTTTTTGCCAAAATGGAGGTTAGTTCCATCCAGGTGACAGAACACAACTTAAATTATGCACTATTTCCTGGCTTACAAGGGCATGCACAACATAACCTCTCAGGCTTTCTTCAATGGTCTTTGCCAAAATGGAGGTTAGTTCCACCCAGGTGACAGAACACAACTTAAATTATGGACTATTTCCTGGTTTACAAGGGCTTGTGCTTCTTGTGATTGATCGGTGGGAGGGAAATGGACAATAAACACATAGCTTGTGCAACCATTGATTACATAAAACTGTCTACATGAATATAAAATCACAAGCTAGGTAAATAATTCTCACTCACTACGTCAGAATAAAGCATTAAACCCAATCACCCAACGAACTGACTCTTGATATGACAATACTTAAACAGAAAGCAATGAATACTTTTAATTAAATCCTCTCCAGTAACTAGAAGTTCTCAATTTCCAGATCGAAATTTACAATGAGTACAAAATGCTAACCTAAACCATGCAAGATACCAAACCTGCTAGATACTATGAAGCCAAAATTATAACTTCACAATGTAGGGCATCAATAACAAGCTTAAAAATAGAAAAATAATTTGTGGAAATGAAATAATTGATTAAATATCTACCCCGACACTTCGTAAATTATAGCATAAATACCTGGAAGATCCCACATTGTTTTCTGCAATACCAGTACACCTACTTTCATGGTTATATCTTTCTCTCAATCTAATGTATCTGTTACACAGATGACACAGCTCTGTCCGATTCCCACATACTTCCTAAAATCACAAAGCAACAGCAATATTGTAACAATTTCACCTAGCATATACCATTGGAATCAAAACTGATTCAGAATTGGTACCTGATGCTCAGCCAGATCAATAGCAGGCAACGGAAACTCGCAAAACTCACAAGTTACAATCCTCTGGGGGCAATTTTCACCTTTATGGATAGCTAGAATGTCGCGTTCCATTGTCTCACTGCATAGTGAACAGGGCACCTGCTTGCACACATATGAGGTCAATAGCTTCACAAATGTTATCACATGCATTATGTTAGATTTTACAGTAGATACGCACTTGCACATTACATACAGACAAAGCATGATTGAACCAACCCAACAACAACCTTGGCTAAACAAAATCGTGGTGGACAACACCTACCCATTATTATCAATCATTAAAGGACTAATTGGAGTCCTTTTATTCTCTTTTATTTCACTTTTAATATGTTTCAAACCTTCAATTAACAATAAAGGTTTACTCTTAACTAACTCTATGAGGAGGTTGATAGACTGGTTCTACCTTATAGTTAAATTTTTAGAAAATAGTCTTCCCTTGTTGACAAATTCAGGCATCCAAACCGAGATAAGAAAACCTGAATTCACAATGGTCAGGAGGGGGGGGGGGATATCAACTCAAATATTCATCAATCTAAACAGGCTTAATCAATTAGCTTTGGCAGATAAACCACAAGTCCAAGGCCAATAATATGCCTGATCAACATCTTAGTTATTCCTCCCTACCCCTCCTTCCAAATATTTTAGTTTAAAAGGAAAAACCAACCTAAGCAAAATCCCAACATGCAGATAAATTTCCATGCTACAACCTATTGCTGTTTATTAAGCTATATCCACAGATCACACAATCTCACAGCTCTAGCTCAAGTAGCATCCAGAAAGCCATCATAATGATGGGAATAGAAGAGAAACAAAAACAAGCAAGATAAAAGAATTGATCCATTTGAAAGGAATCAGAAATGACCTACCGGAGCATGGGTGTTTAAGAAATGTTCCTCAGCATGCCTTTTTGGAACCATATCACCACAAACTTTACATTTTTCTAGATTACGGGAGCAATGAGCATAATGCAAATCAATATTTGAAGAAGGTATGGCCCTGTCACTGAACCATTAAAAAGGTAAAGTTCCTGTTAAAATTTCTTCTGCAAGGTATTTTCCAAAATCGTTAAATTTTTTAGTGAAAGGACCTCCAACCTCATAAAATTGGATTAGAAAAAGATAGAGTTGCAACATTAAAAATTAATTAAGAACCACTTCAAAACTAAGGCATGCATCAAAACAAGATTCAGAAAATAATAGTGAACTTCTGTCTTGCAAAAAAACAAGGCAATAGATGAACCATGATAATCTTTGATCCACAACTCATATTCACCTTCCTAACTATGTAAGGAAAACATAAAAGCACACTTCAACGTACCTTCGAATAAAAAGCATTCATGAGAAATAGTAAAAAGTGGAAACCCCAAGCTTTGTTCAAAGTATGCGAATGCCAAGCACACTTCCCAGTATCAAGTGGATTGCAAAGTTACTGTTAATGGAAAACTAGCACGACCAAGAAAGAACCTCCAAAAAAACTACCAACAATTATCTAGAAACGTTCAAAATACCCAATAATAAAAGCTAAAATTTCATAATTCAATGGATTTTCTGCTATGAACAAAGACAGAGGCCATGATCACATCAACTCAATGCAACCATAAACGTATCAAACAATCATAATTTTAGGTCCTAACCGACATCAAAGCAGGTAATTCAACTATAATCACTCCCTTTCCAGCTTAATTTGACCAACTTAAATTACTAATCATTTATTGATGAAGAAATCAATCTCCTATTACACACAAACTCTAGACAAATCAAGCAACAAGAGTTACTCCCCAACCCCAATTTTAAAATTTAGAAAAAAAAAACGAATTTTCAAGCTCAAAGAAACAAAAGGACTGGGATCAGGAAGACAAGAAACAGATTGCGTCGAAAATTGAACGAACTAAAATTAAGTAGAGAAAATGATCGTAAAATTATATACTAATAAATACCAGTGACTGCATATGCGAGTGATTTCGTCCGGAGCAATTGCCATAGCGATCCGTTCAAAATCCTAGGTCGACAACATGAAAATCATAAATAAATAAAAAATAATTAATTGAGAACGAAAATCGGATAAAGGGAAATTAAACTTAGTGATCAAGATTAGTAATTAAACCTGAAAAAAGCCCTGGATTTTCGTTGGAAACTCTCTCTTTCCTTTTTTTTTTTTTTTAATTTTCAAGAATTATGGAGATGAGAAAATAGAATGAAAGGAAATTAGAGCGAAGACTGAGTTATTTTGATTACTACTTTGGTTGTTTTAGATGACTTGACTTTGGGAACTCCCCTAGAGTCCACCATTCGGCTTTTTCCTCCACGCGCCCTCCAATGGCGGTGAGTGACACGTCCATATGCAATTTGGGCCCTTGGCATTTTTATCGGCTTCAATTTCATGATTGCTCCTTCAGCAAGAAAGCCCTTCAAAAATAATTGTATGATGATCGCATGATTTTCATTTTCACAAATATACAAAAATTATCAACTCATTTTTTTTCTTTTTTCTTTTTCTAAACAAATCAAAAAATTCTTAGGGTGCAAGAAAAATTATCATATATAAATCGACAATGGTACTGGAAAAAATTATACCTTGAAGCAACATTTTTCTATTTTATCTATATTATTTTTTCTAATAATTCAACATATTCTTTTTACATAAAATATCACAGTTTAAGGAAATAATTCCACATAATTTAACCATATTATATATATATATATATTATTATAGACATTTCACGATGAAATTTTTCATTCAAATCTTGATATATAGATCATTAGTTAGTTTTTTTCGTTAATTAATAAGTATTAACTTTGTTTGGAAGTCCACCAAAAGGAATCTTTAGCTATTGCCTAATTGATCAATTAGGTCACCTTCTATTTTTACCTAACAAATTAACAATCCTAAGCTTTTTCTTAAGTAGTGAGCTTGGTTCAACATTGTTATTGTTAGGTTTCCTTTTGAGTAATGCATTATCTAATAATAATGATAACATGGAAATCCCATAAAGTTGGTAAATGGAGTGCTTTTAGATTTATTTACCCATTATGACAAGGTTTTCAATAGGCCAAGCTTGCACGATTAGAATTTACTTAAACACACGTAGAAAAAGCTTAAAAAGAAAACATATCATTTATAATTATTGTACTAAGAATTTAATTAAACTTATAAAACAAAGATATCACCTATAATTATTACATTACATACAATTAACTAATCACAATTCACCTATACTCATTAACTGATAAGTAGCGGATGCTTACATAATTTTTTATTATGATTAGAAAATTATAATTAAAATTATGGTAAAAAAATTGTTTATGAAATAATCTCGCTTATAAAAAAAAACCTTGAAATTAAATAAAAGTTAATTAAAGAAATAACAATTAGGACTAGTTTGATAAATATTTTTACTTTTTGCTATTTATTGTTTAGTTTTTTTATTATTTTTTTTGTAAATAGATAATAAAAAACTTTATCAAATATGAAGGCTAAGAAATGAATAAAGATGTCAATCTTACTTAAACTCAATAGGGAACTTAATTTTTACCTTAATAGGGACGGAGATGAGTATTAAATTTTAAGAATGAATATGATTTTAATGATGTTAATTTTACTCAAACTTAATAGAAACCCGATTTTTACTTAAATGAGAATGAGTTTATGTATGAAATTTGGGAATAGGGATAGGAATAAATTTGATTTTGAAATACATGTCAGGTATAAGGACTGGAATGAATAATATAGTACCCATTCTATATTTGTACATGATATATATTTAATATTATAAAATTTTATTTTACATTAATTAGGTTTATGTTAAAAAATTTTAAATTTTTAAACATTTTTAGGCTTTAATCGCAACAACTAAAGCCTTCTTTCCTTTTTTAAGAATTCCCCGTCTTTATTCTTCATCGCTCGCCCATTATTTTTGCCTTTCTCCTCTCTCTGTCTCTTCACCACTATTCTTTTCTCAAGTTTATATTGCAGTTGATTGTCACTTTCGTTGTGTCGCTCTTGCCTTTCCTTACTTTTGTTTTGTCGCGCCTCTTTCCTTTTATCACGCCATTCATTTCGTCGGAATCAAAGGTAACTTCCCTTCATCACCTTACCTCATCGTTACCTTCCACCTAGTTTTTCTTGGCTACTATATTCTTGCACCAGCCATAATATTTCTTTATTCTCTTTTTTATTCATTTTTAGATGTGTCGATTCTAATCACTTACATGTGTTATCCTTTTTGGTTTAATTTTGATTTGGATTTTGTTTACCCTGGTTCGATTTCTGTTTGGTTTGATTTTGCTTAATCTGGTTTAATTATAAAACCTGAGGAAGTGAATCCATTCTAATTAATAATTATAGTATTAAAAATTAATTAATATAATGTTTGATTTATTTTAAAGTTTGACCATTTGGATACTATTGTTGAACAAAGAATTAAAAAGATTAAGATATCAATTATATTGGTTAAATTTTTACTTATTTTAAAAAATTACAATGTGTACTTTTAATTTTTTTTTTAAAGAATCATAGGTACAAGAATTATCTATATTTATTAGTCTCTGTGTGGACGGGGATAAGTTACAAAATCAAGAATGGAGATAGGGATTGGAACAATTTTAAAATTTGAGGATAAGAAATGCTCTACTTGTCCCAAACCTGCTTGTTGACATCCTTATACGGTTTTAAATTTTTTATCAGGTACATGGTGATTAATATAACATTTGTCTCATAACCTATATATATATATATATATTTATATAATATAATAAATTAATTTCGAATTTAGTAAATATTATGTCATAAAAATAATTATATAAATTAATTAAATTAAATGCATTTAACGTATCTCTTAAGTTTTATTTGATGCGAGAGTGGAAAAATTAAAAATAAAAATTAAAAAATTATTAATCCAATAATTTAATATATAGTATGAAGTGAAGACAAGAAAAATGGAATCAATGCTTTTCCATACAAATTGCCATCAGTAGTCTTTGCCCTTTATTATTAATTAAAGCATGTTTACTCGAACTAGCTTATATGCTTGAAACGTGCAAAGTATTGGTATAGTTAGGGGTGGCAAAGGTACATATGAGATTGAATTTGGTTTAATTTTTTGTATGATATATAAAATTATAAATGTTTAAAATTTAAATCAAATTTTCATATAATTTGATTTGGATCAAATTTTATTGGTTTGGTTCATTAATTTTTTAATTTTAATTTTTTTTACATTTTTTAATATGAATTTTAATATATTTAAATAGATTTAGATATAAAATAATTTTGTATTTCATAAAAACTTAAAATATTCATAAGCCAATAAAAATATATAATCCAATTCAAATTTTTTTATTTTTCATTTATTGATTTGAAATCTAATCCAAAACCTAAAATATATATATTTAATATCAAAACTTAATTTAAACCGAATAAAAAAAATGATCTGAATTAAATCAAACACTAGAGTTTTGAATCAATTTTTTATTTTCTCAATTTTTTTCATATAGATAATCATGGGGGTGGGGATAAGTTACAAAATCGAGGATGGAGATAGAGACAATTTTAAATTTTGAGGATAAAGAATACTTTACTTGTCCGATATTTGCCTGTTGATGTTTTTATATGATTTTAAAATTTTTATTTGGTATAGAGTGAATGATATAGTGTCACGAGTTGAGACTTAAGCTTCGAATCCGTACGACTCCGGGACCCGGGCATTCATCTTTCTGACGTCCCAGATCAGTCTACCTGTCATGGTTCACACTCTTGTGAGGTATTATCCGCTCTGATCCCCTCCTGGCCTCACGGTTTTATCCTACAAAAAATGTCTCACAAGGCGAAGGTGGTGTGAACCCTTATATACTCCAGTGACCCTCCTATTTTGTTCGATGTGAGATTCAGGACTCTTTCTTAGGTCCGTGACATTTCTCCCACACTCAACCTCGTGACGTCCTCGTTACAGAAGCTGACCACCCTGCCTGCCTCCCTTGAGGTGCTTGGCGTGGATTGAACGGTTTAGGGCTGACTCTGATACCACTTGTCACGGGTCGAGACTTAAGCTCTGAACTCGCGCGACTTGGAACCTGGGCATTCACCATTTCGGTGTCCCGGATCAGCCTGACGGCCATGGTTCACACCCTTGTGAGGTATTGTCCGCTCTGGCTCCCCCTGGCCTCACGATTTTATCCTACAAAAAACGCCTCACAAGGAAGAGGTGGTGTGAACCCTTTTTATACCCCAAGGAACCTCCTATTATGTTCGATGTGAGATTCAGGACTCTTCCTTAGGTCCGTGATATTCTCCCGCACCCAACCTCGTGACGCCCTCGTCACGGAGGCTAGCCACCCTACTTACCTCTCTCGAGGTGCTTGGCGTGGATCGAACGGTTTAGGGTTGGCTCTGATACCACTTGTCACGGGTCGAGACTTAAGCTCTGAACCTGCACGGCTCCGGGACCTGGGCATTCACCATTCCGATGTCCTAGATCAGTCTACCTACCACGGTTCACACCCTTGTGAGGTATTGTCCGCTCTAGCCCCTCTTGACCTCACGGTTTTATCCTACAAAAGACACCTCATAAGACGGAAGTGGTGTGAACCTTTATATACCCCAATGACCCTCTTATTATATTCGATGTGAGATTCAAGACTCTTCCTTAGGTCCGTGACAATAGCACCTGCCTCATATCCTATATGTATTTATATATTTAATAATATAATTTTATTTTAGATTAATTAGTAATTAATATATTTATATTTAAAAAAATATATTTCTAAAAAATTACATGAATGTACAAAATAAAATAAAAAAGCTAAAAAATATTTTTTTATTTTTTATTTTTTTAACTAGAAGTATGGAATTACACTCATCCATTAAATTCTCATGAGAATGGTGATGGATAAGAATTTGAAATATTCATTAAATGTGAATATGGGA